TTAAACGTTATTCAAATAATTTTTGTATTTCCTATTTTCTTCTCGAATCTATTCAAAAAATTAATATTAGGAATCAATCAACAGGATCTACAAGTATGTACAGTTTCAACAAAAATTAATTGGAAGCGAAAACATAAGTTTCACATGGTTCTTTTATATACTTTTACAAATATTTTGTGAAAAATAAAAAATGTTTATTATGATCAGAGTTATTCATTGTGATTTATCAATGAAACAAAAGATTAAATAGTAACGGCAGTCTCGTGTATTGCACAATGATGTTCTGGAAACTTGCTCGGATGAACACTATTCATTGGTAGAAACGTACATTGTACGATCATCACGACACTTAATACCACTTGACATCGCTGAATATGAGTGGGAATTGACCTGATGAAAAGACATGGTCAGTGATTCGTCTGCTTACAGAATTCCCTTTTCTCAAAATGGAATTCCTCTGTAACTTTAACCGAACTAAACCAATCATTCTCTCCCTCATGTATCATTTGTTTGAAATTATTTTAACTTTGTTCTTATCTAATATAACTAACATGCTTTTCTAGTTTCATTTTCTAGTTTATTGTTAATTAATCAATAAAAATTAAATATAGAATTTTTTCATTAATTTAATTGAATTTATATTTATATTACAATTTATATTAATTTATATTAAAATTTGATACAAAATATAATAATGCATTGAAAAAGTAAGTAACTTTTTGATACTGTTTTACACAAAAATTACATTTAAATAAATAACTTGAATCATAATGAAATTAATGATAAATAAATTTAGAATTTCTAATGTCGCTATATATTTAATTTTATTCCTATTTGGAAAGCATAATAATACAATGAAGTCAATAAAGTTTTATAAAATAAGTAAAGTATAGTAGATTATTTTTATATTATATATTATAACATTTTCATTAATTCTATAGTTAAAATAATTATGAAAAAATGTTTCATATTTTAATTACTCAATTAAATAAATTAATAACAAATATTTTTATGTATTTTTGAATTGTCAAAGCTAAAATACAAAATATTTAAAACACATTTAAATAAATATATTTAAATCATATAAAAATAAATAAACCATAATTATATTTATATTACATGTTTACGATGAATATATATAATCATATGTTATATACAATATCAATGGAACATAAAATTTTCATAAAATATTATATATAATTTTCATGTAATTTTATGTATTATAAAGACAATGTCAAAGTTTTCATTAAAATGAAAATCATATTTATTTTAAATGAAATATTTTAACACAATGATATCACTATATTTTTTTTGTTCAAAATACATTAGTAATAATTGTTGAATATATTTCATTCATCGATTATTATTTATCAATTACATATTTGTAACCATAAAAAAAAAGAAATTGGAATGAAAATAATTACTATTCCATTCAGATATTTTAGAATTGTTCCTCATTAAATCCAAATAACCAGGAATAATATAGATTCCAATTTAGTTAAACAGTTAAATAATTTTTATTAGTTATATTATTTATATTTTTATATATTAGATTCATATCTATCAAATTGTATTTTACATATATATATAAAATATATATTATATTTATAAAAATAATATAAAACATATTTTAATATAATATTTCTATAAATATAGAATATATTTAAAATATATTAATATATTTTTTATATATTATTACATATACTCACATATAAAGATATATTTTATTTATGATTTATGATTATATTTATGATTATAATTATATAAAAATTTTATTTATAAAATCATTTTTAAGAATTAATTAAATTTCTTCCATATAGATATTTATAAATAGGTATTATATTCCATATAGATATTTATAATAGGTATATCATATATATGGGGACAAAACTCCTCATATATCATTTTACGATGAAATTCGTTTAACCAGAAAATTCTGATTTTAATGAAAATTTATGTATATATAATTTAAAACAATATTTTCATCGATAAAAATTTGTCGATTTTCATCCTTTTCTTTCAGGAAATGAAAATAATTCTAAAGATTTTGAAAAAATATTTTTCCATATTATGAATATAATTTTGTTTTAAAAATTTTTTAGACCGAAATAATGGAATATTAAATCTTGAATATTTTATAATTTAAAATTTTTTTTCAATTTCGCATTATCACAGCGAAATTTATTTAAAGAAACGAAAAATATTGATCTCTTTAAAGTAATACTTTTTTAAAAAATTAAGTTCGTTTATTTATAATGAAAATTTATATTATTAGATTTTATAGAATAGATAAACAGATAATATATGGAACAATTTTTTTTAACAGAATATCATTTGTAGGAAATAAAATTAACTCAAATTTTCATTGCATTTTTTATTTTTCTTTTTTAATATAATTCTGCAATAATACAAGATAGAATACAATTTTAAATTACAAAATGTTTAAAATTTAATATCTTATCAATCAAATTGTAAAAAAACAAAATTATATTTGAAATATAAAAAGATGCTGAAAATGAGAGATTGATATTATTTTTTCAAACACATTTTCTATCAATAAAAATATTAGCATTCTATGTGTAATCCATTATGTTCTACATAAATTTTAATTAAAACTAGAATTTTTGGATCAGTCGATTAGTTTATAATAGAATAGTGTAAAAAAATTCTTCATTATATACTTCACAATTTATCAATGTCGTCTTTTATTCATATTCGTTGTTTTAAAATCAATTAAAACATTAGAATGTATGTTCAGGATACCACACATAAGTTCTTTTTCACAAGATTCGTGTATTCGATTCACATATTTATAAGATAACCAATGAAATAATTTTATATTGTTTTTACTTAGCCTATGAACAATTTACTATCATTTGTTTCTACGTTTCATTTGTTATCTTGATTTGAAGAAAATCACCAACAGACTAATTGAGAATATATAAAATTGGAACGATATAATAAAATAATTCTAAATCTTATGAAAATCGTCGTCTAAATGCTTACATAAGGATTATAGATAGATGAACAATTAATATTTATTATATTGGATTGTTCGGAAAGTAATTTCGTTTTTTTTCACACTTTCTTAATAGCACATATATTTTATTTAATTACATATTGACCATTGTAGTCCAATACATGGTTGCCATCTTTTAAATAATAGCATGACTCCACGTAGAACTTCTGATCTTTGTTTGCAAAAAACTGATTCAAGTGATTTTTGACATTCTTATTTGAAGTAAACGTTTTATTATCTAAAAAATTCTATAAATATCAAAGGTGGTAATCCGAGGGTGCCAGATCTGGCGAATATGGCGGGTGCAGTAGCACCTTCCATCCAAGCTGTAACAACTTCTAACGAGTCATTAAACTCATGTAAGGTTGTCATGAAAACACTACACCTTTCCTGTTAATTAATTCATTTCTTTTGTTCGATAGAATCATCTAATTGCTTGCACTATATTTTCGAATTAATCATACAATTGTCAGGTAGAAGCTAAAAAAGAAAACAACTCTCTTGAAATCACATCAAACAAAGAGCATTACTTCTTTTTGGTGAATGATTTTCGAAGTGCTTTGCACCGGCTCATTTTTATTGCTCCATGATGGTTTTCGTTTAACATTATCATAAACAATCCATTTTTCATCCCCAGTAATAATTTACTTTAAAAATGGATCGTTTTCTTTATGTTTGAGCAGCAAATTACAGATATCAATGTGAAGCAAATCTCTTTCTTTGAGAACGTGTGGAACCCAAATATCGAGCCTCGAAATCAAGTCGTTTTATGTGATTCGAACAATCGAATTCGATCTCGTAGTAATTTCTCGAGTTGTTATTCATCGGTTTGCTTCAATCAATGTCTTTATTTTGTCTTCATCAGTTTCAACTGGTCCAGAACATGGCGCATCTCTAACGTCGAAATTTTGAAAACCAATTTTGACACTGATGCACTGTTAATATACCTTCTTTATAAACTTCACATAACTTTTTTCTTGCTTGAAGA